CAGCCCTCCTCTCTCCCTCCTTTCTTTCCTTTCACTGTCTCAGTCTCAGTCTCTATCATATATGGATGTGGTTTAAAAAAAAAGCAGTAGAACAAAATAAAATTATCAAAAGCTCCAAAGGTAGAGCACCTGCCTAGCAAGCACAAGGCCCTGAATTCAAACCCCAGTACCATCGAAAAAAAATTTTTTTAATACAAATAGAAAAAATAGCTGGATAAGTGGCTCAGTGGTACAGCACTTGCCTAGCATGTTTGAGGCCCTGAGTTCCAACCCCAGCATCACAAAAGAAACAAACAAAAAAAGCACACAGTGAAAAGTAAACCTCTGCTTCTTATGCATCATTCTAGAGATATTCTCAGCATAGCTAAGCATGGATATATATATATATGTTTTGTGAAACATGAATAGTAACAACTGGACTTGCCTTTCTACACCTAGCTGCTTGAATTTTAGATACTGTTGCATGCTGGGTACAGATTGTCTAGTAAAGTCTCTGATGGCTCTGCCATAATTGATTTAACCAGACCCCTAGTTAGGGACATTTAACTACTTTCCCATCTCTTCCAACTATAAGCAAGGCCACAGTAAATATCCTTATACAAACTACCTTTGTGCTTTTGCTCACGCAGGATAAATTCCTATTACTAGATGTGCTGGGTCAGAGTGTGTGTGGACTTGAAATACAGTTCACTAAGAGGCCCTTCAAACAGTACTAATTGACACCATCTCCAACACGGAAATTGCCACTCCTACCCTCCCTCCATGCCTGCTCACACTTTAGGAGTGGGTGACTTCAACCCAGTTATCTTCGAGGATAGGCCCCCTTTCCAGCAAGGCCAGCCAGGTTCTTTGCTCTTTCCATGTGCTTGTGCCCAGTCCCTACCTGCCTTCAGGCTGCCTTCAGGCCAATGTCAGCCGCACGCCTCTGAGCAGAAACTGTCCCCTAGTCCCCAGCTCCTCAGGATGAGCCTACCTATGTATCTGCATAGTCTCTCCTCTTCCTCTCACCAAAATACTTGGCGTCCTCTCATCTGGTGCCCCTGGGCTGGTCCTGCAGCATGCTGCTGGGAGGTGGACAACATGTGGCACCAGACAAGGGGACTAGGGCTGGTGGTGAGAAGACGCTCCTGCTGCCTCCCCCACCAAACAGGCATACTTTTGCTGTCTGCAGAATGCCACCCCCTTTTGAAGGCTAGTCTCCTTGTCATTCCCCTTCTGGGATTGATGGGAGGGCCCAGTAAAATATCTCAGAAGGGGAATGACATTGAATGGTAGGGGCCTAGGGAGGTCAGAGCCCTCTTGGGATAGTGAAGATCAGAAGCAGGAAACAGGAATACAGGAATGCCATCTGCAGATGCAAACACCAAGGCAAGTAGAAAGGATGGCTCATGGGCCCCAGAATCCAGCTTGCTCCAAGGCTGGAGCACCTTATCTGCTCCATGTGAGTCAGAGGCTTAACCCAGGCCAAAGAGGGGTGTATTGAGGCTGGATGTCATGTATTTCTCCACCTTCAGGTAATCCCATTTTGCCCCCATAGGCCCTGGGTCTCAGAACAGCCATGAAACACTGGGGATTTGGCAGGACAAGCAGAAAACAGGAGAGAGGCTGGGGGGTGGGGGAGGCACAAAGTGGCAGGAAGGGAAGAGTAGGGATGTGGAGGCCTCCAGAGGCTGGGGTAGGAGCAGGGCTGACACTAGGTTCATGTGGGCCTGGTTGGGCCAAGCTGTGACTCTTACTGGGTTCTTGCTGCACATAGTAATCACCTGAGCCTACCTTGAGAGAAGAATTTAGTCACCCTGCCAGCAAGTATTGAACACTTTTGTCAAGCACTGCATGCCAGGGCTATAGAAATGACTCTGACATAGCTCGTGACCCCAAGGACTTACAAAGATGGGAGACTACAGAGGAAAGGAGCTAGGGGATATCAGAATATTTCTTTCAGGAGCTGGCACATGAGACTTTAAAGGATGAACAGAAATGAAACAGGGTTAGGAAGGACATTTCAGGACCAAGCTCCCTGGGCACCCCCATGTATGTTGAAGGGTTTCACTGGAACAGAGAGCTAAGAGCAGGGCAGTGCCTTAGAGCACAGTAATGGCCTTATGATGGCGCAGTGTGGTGCCAGGTGTGGGGACCGCCTTAGAAGCTAGGCTGCAAGATACAGTGGTTTATGCTCCTAGTTTTGACCAAAACTTGGAGCTATTTCTTCCATGGCCAAAAACCACGACGTAAAGTGTGGTGGGTAGTACCTTTGGTGAATACATCAAATAAACTACTCTCAAAAAATGACTGCTTGATGTCTAGAGGCCCCCGAGGCCTGCTATTCCACAACCATGGTTCCACATGCCAATAATAGCTCCACTGCATTTTAAACAGAAATTGCCTGACCGTTTAGGATATTTCACATAACAAAGAGCACAGGCACAAGAACAGGCTATGATACTGGCAAGTGTCCCATTTGCAGTTCTTCATTACAAACAAAAGCAAGCAACTCTAGTTAATTCAAACAGAAATGTTTTATTGGACAGCTAGGGAGGAACTTAGGGAGTCACCAGAGAGGTTAGAGAATCAAGATTCTGGAAGGAACAAGGAAGCAGCCAGACACAGTCATAGCATGCCATCAGAGCTAGTTCCTCCAGTATGGTCAGCAGGGGCCCACACTGCTGTGGCCCTGGATTGCCACTGCTGCTGCTGCCACCACTGCCACCCTGTAGCAACCAGGAGCAAATGTCCCAGGACACCTGCTCCTCAGACTGCCTCCCTCCAGATGTCAAAGACTGGCCATGAATGACTAATGGGCTTAGCTAGGGCCCAGTCTGAGCTCCTCAGGATCCCAAGGGCATGGGTCTTAGAGCCTGACCTCCAAAGAGACTTCACTGGCAGGTTTCTTCAACACCAACAGAGGCCTTCCAGCACTAGCTAGATGTCCCTTTCCCTGCATAAACTAATTTTGACAGAAAGGGAAATTAAGGTTGCTGCTATGCCATCGGAGCAGGGAGAAGGGATAGGACTTCCAAAATACTTCCTTGTGCGGTGCCACTCAGGGCACAGAAAAGGTCACAATAAACCACTAGAACCCACCAAAAAGGCCTGCAAGGACTTTAATTTTGAGTCTCCATGACCAGCTGAGGTGCCAACCAAAGACCAAGGAGCAACATAGAATGATGAGGCCTCAGTCTGACCAGTTGCAGAAGAAAGGACTGTGGTTCCTAATCCATGTTTCTGTGTGTGCAGTGGGAGAACAGCATTTTTTCTCTTTAATTGGACATTTAAAAAAATTTTCAGACTGGCAATTCAGTTAACAGTCAAGAAAATACAGTGACACAGTTAAAAAAAATCAAGCAAATGCATTATTTTAGGCGACAAGAGTCTCCTTCCTCACTCCTTTGCCCCAATCCTCGACTCCTTCCCCAGAGGCAGCCTCTGCTATGAGTTAGGTACGTGGTCTTTCAGACATAAGCGTCTTCGTGTACAGTTTGGCTTTGTAAGGTTTTGTTTTACATTGAGATTCTACATATTGGTCTACACTATGCTTAACATTGTGTCTTGGAGGTCTTTCCGTATCAGTACTTGATACAACTTGTAACTGCTATATAGCATTAATTCCAACTATCAAAGCATCCAAGCTGGGTGGAAGGACATACACCACTTTACTTGTTAATAGCTACTACCAAACTTTCTAAAAAGACTGCTATAGCGTATGTGCACACCAACTGCTTAGGTCTTCTTATTTCTTCTCTTCCTAACCCAAGCTAAATAGGATCAGGAAGAAAAACTCTCACCTTCTCATGGAACAGTATGTTTTGCTGGGATGCTAACTGACACCACTGATTCCCAGTGAGGTTGAATGCTAATACCTAGGCTTTTGGAGTTGTGGGGAATCTGCTCTCAGAAACTGTTGAGAGAGGTATACACCAGTGCACGCACTCAAGAAAGCAATCTGGCAGATCTGCTTGGGGTGAAGATACTAAAACCTTGGGAACCCAGACCTTCCATTTATGCACTTTCCCCTGAGAAACTCAACACAGGTGCACAAAGGGACTTCTCTCTAGCATGCTCGTTGCCACAAAATGCTGGTGAAAACCTAAATGTCCACCCACAGAGGAGAGGATAAATTGTGGTAACTCATACAACTGAATATATCATAGGTGGCAGTTAAAATGCATGAACTAGATCTACATGTATCAAAATGACTAAGTCTCAAAAACAGTGGTGAGGGAAACTAAGCTGCAAAATGGTAGCATGCATTATGTCAGTATGTCCATTAAAAATCCAATTATCATTGGCTAAGAATACATATAGACACACACATATACATATACACATATGCACACACACACTCATGTATACATCTAAAGACATAGACAAGAAGTAAGCACACCATTTTCTGGTAGTGCTTACCTCTGTGGATGGGTGAAGGTAAAAATTAGTGTGAAGAACCTCACCTGTGCCCTAAATCTTTTACTTATTGGAGAGGGAAAGGCAGGGGGGACCTGAAGCAAACATGGGCAAATGTTAAACCTGCTTCTGGGTATAGACAGGCACCTCTACTTCCCTGCAACCATTTGTCCAGCAGGTGTTATTCTAACCCTCTCTGTGTCACTGCTTCAAGGTATGTAATTGACAAACAGCTTTGTTTTTTAACCCATCCTGAGAACTTCAATTTTCTCAAAGGTGAGATTAACTCATTCATCCCTATACTCAGTTTGAACTTATTTCTACTATTCTGTATTTTTACCACGCTTTATTGGGCTTTTTCTTGCCTTCCTCCTTTCTGTATTCCACCTTCCCCTATAGCAGACAACTCACCCTTTATTCCTACTTAAAAAAAAAAAAACTTTTGTTGTTGTTTTAGAGTTAGTATTTCCAGTAAAAACTAATATTTTTGGTGTTTGGGGAACACCAAAAAACCTTTTGATGCAAATGCAAGGGATCTATTATAAAGTCATTTGGTACCACTGTTTTAGACAAAACCAAACAATTCCGTTATACCATGGAAAACCAAAAGAAGAAGTTTAATAAACTTTTAGGGCACTGCAATTACAGGAACATTAACCCATAACATGCGACAAAAATGCTTTTGCCTTTTGGACATATTTAACAGATAAACTTGACATTACAAGTAACAGCAACATAGTCTACAGAAGAAAACAAGTGTGATTTATTTCAACGCTCAGGTTAGAAAATGTATGCTCTTACTGCAATCTCAAGTAGCATTTAAAGTTTAGTTTTCCCTTTCTAACCTCTAAAAGACAGCAGGAATTTTAATGCAATCGCACACAACCGTTTTCACATTGAAAATAATCACCAAGAATAGACTGGTTTTGTCTAATTAACCGTTTTCATTTGCATTGTTAATTTTAAGAGGGCTCCTGCAGTATTGTGGGTTTCAGATGGGGAAAATAATCAGACCAGAACAGCCTTGGCCTTTAGAGTGGGGGAGGGAACATGCAGCGGCACACGGGGCAGGTGCCGGACTTCTGAAGCCAGATGGACACGCATGGCTTGTGAAAATAGTGGTGGCATGGCAGCTCGGTTGCCACCTCTCCCTTCACATATTCACTGCAGCAGATTGGGCAGCACATTTCCTGGCCCACTGCGCCATGATCTTCTGTGACTAGGATCTCTGGAAGAGCATCGACGCTCTCCTTGCTCGCTGGTGGGTTAGCCACCTCCACATCAACTGCAAGAGACTCCAAGTGTGCAAGGGCAGTCTCCATGGCCTGGGCCAGGCGCTCTTCCAGAGCCATGTAGGTGAGGAACTGAGGATCCACATAGGAGATGGCTTCAGCCACTCCTAACCCATCCGCAAAGCCATCAAAGAGGCTCCAATCCACTTCTAGATCTTCGCTCACACTGGAGTCGTCTTCGAGGTTGTTGTTCCCATCCAGCAAGAACACCCCGGGCTGTATCACACCATGACTGGAGTCGTTATCCCCCTCACTGCTGCTCTCGTTCCCATTGTACCTGAGCCAAGGAATCTCGCCTTCTTCAGGGGATGCCCGCTCCTCTTCCAGAAGAGATGGTCCTTGACCTTCCTCAAGATAGCTACTGCCCTTGCTGTTGACCCCAGCACTGGCACCGGCACTGGCGCCAGCAGTGGCACCAGCAATGGCACAGGCTCCTGCCACGGAGCCAGGGCTGGTGCCAGGGGTGCTCACGCTCACTCTAGCTGGCTGAGCCTCCCGCTCTTCCTTTCCTGGCAGAGTCTCCCAGCTGTCCCCACTGGAGGACAGGGTTTGCTCTCGACTTCGATACTTTCGGCGCAGAGCGGAGATCCACTCTTTGTCACTGTCAGAGTCTTCATCACAGTATTTGTAGTAATCGTCACCGTATGTCCAGAAGTCAGGGTTGGCCATGGTTCGCCGCCGTCTCGGCACCTTCTCTGGTTTCACTTGGTTGTTCCTGGCTTCCCTCTTGTCTTCAGGGTACTGCGGCTCAGCATAGCGACTTGAACCCTCGCCTCTGCCTCTTCTGGCTAGGCCATCGGAATTGGCAGCACCCCTCCACCTGGAAGTACTGGGTGGCACATCATCATCATCATCAGTATCAAAAAATATTTTTGGTTTCATGCAGTTGGGAGTTGTCAGATTTCGAATTTTCGGCCTCACCACCGGTTCCTCTGTACTCTTTGGGGTATTTTCCCCACCACTACAAATACTCACAGGAGCCCTACTGGTATGCACTGGTAAATTCTGCTCCTGCCTCTCCCTCTCCAAGCTGTCACCTTTTGTAGCCACCGTGTCTTCAGCAGAAGACATCTGAGAGGCCGCACCATTTCGATTCAGGAACTCGGCTCTGTTAGCAGAGTACCTGGTGGCAGGAGCTGGCTCTAACTTGTCAAGCTCCTCCCTCACATCTTGGTTATAACTAAAGGGGCCAGATGCCCCTACCAGAGACCTTGCCCCCTTCTCTGACTCACACAGCTTATCATCCTTAAACTTGCCAGTTTTCCCTCTCATTGGCAGTCGCTCACCAGGCCCAGCCCCCTCCTCCTCACTATCATCTGCCCCAAAAGAGTCAATATGTCCATAAGCCATTCCTCTTCTGCTACCTGCAGCCCTGTACTCTCTTGGCGGATACCTGGAGTAGTCCTCATTATCAACACTCAGGCAGCTTCCCGAGCTCTCCCTGTTGTCCCAACTACGACGAGTGGTAGAAAATGGTGATCGGCTCCTCTTGGTGGTTTGACTGGGGGCTGATCTGTGCATTGGGACTTCGGATGTCGTCTTTGTCTGGCTGGCAATCCTTTCCTGCTCACTCGTCGATGGCCTGAAACTGACATAAGCATGCCTTCTTCCATACCTCCTGCCTGTATTGGACTGATACCCTCCTGCTGGCTTGGGCCATACAGGCTTGCTAGACTCCTGACCCATAGCTGACTTGGGAAGGCTTCCAATACAGCTGGGGCGCAGGTGGAAAGGCTCTCACTGCCTGCACACGTTTCTGAGCTGGGAAATTCAAATCAGTTCAGAATAAAGGAGCAGGGAGCTCTACTTTCACTTCAGCAGGCAGGTAACGGAAGGGATAGGGGGCCTTTAAAATTAGTTTCACTGTCTTCTAAGGCCTGGAGTAGCATTCCAGTGACTGTCAGGTGTAGACCTGGAACACATTTTTAATGTTGGCAAAATGAGTACAAGACTGGGTATGCAGGAAAGCCAGACTCAGGGGACAATGTGACAGAACGTGGGGGATGAGTGGACGCTTGGAAGGTTGCTGAAGAACTGGGGAATTGCACCAATGTGGGAAGAAGAAAGACTGCTGTGGGTGTTTTATGGAGAGTCTGTGTTTTTCCTGAGCGCTGCAGGCATACAGCAGAAAAGCAAATTAGTACATGAGTGCCTTAGTGTCTGTCAGGAGAGGGACAGGTGGAAGGAGGACCACAATACTGCAATGGAGGGTTGTCTATGTTTGTAGGGGAAGGGGTGTGAGTGTTAGAATGAGACCCATTGAGGATGTGGGTGTGAAAATGACAGGTGTGGGTGGGGTGGCTTCAGAGGACAGGGGTGTGTATGAGAGAAAGAGAAGGGGTGTGTTTGGGGCTGTATGTGTGGCAGCTGGCACCATGGAGGGAAGCCTGAGTTTATGTGTGTCACAGGTTGGGAAGGGGATGGGTATGGTAGCAGTGAAGGAAGTCTATGAGAGTTTGGAAGTGTGTTTGTCAAAATGGGAGGCAACGATGGAGAAATGTCAACGTGAGCAAATGTAGCAGGCATTAATGGAGGGAGAACAGCACCCGAGATGGGGGTGTGTGGTGTGCAGGACAGAGGCCAGCAATCAAAGAATGTCTGCGCATGGGAATATGGCAAGCAGGAAGTGGATGGTGTCCCCAGAGAGGGATTTCTGTGTGTATGTGTGTGCGCACACGCAAAGGAGCACTATCTGTGCAGGTACGAGGCAGGAAGAGCAGGAGAGAACCAGCACGTGAGGTGTGTATGTATGTCAGTGGCCAGCAATAGAAGGATGTCCTTATGTGTGTATGTGGCAGGCAGGCAGGAGGGTGGTGCAGAGGGGGTGTGTACGTGTGCGCGCGTGTGTGTGTGTGTGTGTGTGTGTGTTTGCACGTGCCAGAGCAGGCAAAGGGAGGAGGGGGAAGGTTCTAGAGGTATGAGGTAGGCCGTGAGGGGAGGGGAAAGGCACTGGACGGTGTGTGAGAGGGTGTGTGCGTGCCTGTGTGCGCATGCTTGGGGGAGGGGAGCTGCTAGAACCCTGAGGATGGAGGGGGCTGCAACAGAAGGTTTTGATATGTGCGTGCGTGTGCGTGTGTGTGCCCGCGTACGCTCGCTCGCGACCCGGGGGAGGGGGATGCAGTGTCATAATAAGAAACAGGAAAATGTTATCAGCTCAAAGGCAAACCCAAATCGATGTGGCACGGAAGGGGGCAAAAGAAAGAAAGGGTATATGTGCACATAGTTTTTCCCCCAATGATAATTTTTTTTTCTGATATTCTTTTTCTGGGAATAATACTTATAACTAAAAATATTAACCATTTACCATTCGACATAACAACAGCAAGATGGGGGAAGAAAGGCCACGGAGTACTCTGCAAAGGGGCAGAGCAGGGAGGAGGAGGCGGGGAGCAGTGGCAGAGGGCAGCGACCACCACTCCCCTCTCCAAAGCCATTAAAGCCATTTAAGCAGGGGTCGCGCTGAACGGAAGGGGTCCGGCCACAGAGGATGCAGCCCCTCAATGGTCCGATGGAGGGCACGGGCCTCACTCGGCAGTCGGGTACCCCTCCGCTCCACCCCTTCCCAAGGGGCGAACCCGAAAAGAGGTTCGACGGATTCCCACCCCCATCCTCGCCCCACGGCCGGCCCCCTCGCCCCACCGCCAGCGCCGAGCTGAGTCGCGGCCACGATCAGCCTTTCACTCACCCAGTCTGGACAGTCGCACGCTCTTCGGAGGAGCAGAGCTCTCGGACCTCCGACTGCCACCGCCACCAGAGCCGCTGCTCCTAGTCTCGGGCTCCTCCCCCGCCAGATAGCGGTGGGGCGGGCTGGTGACAGCAGCGGCGGAAGTGATTGTGACGTCAGCCGGAGCCCGCCCCCTTGGTGGTGCGGAGGGGGTGGTTGCTACTCTCCGCAAATCGGTGTGGCCCAGAAAACATTATTTCATTTAAAACGATGAAATCGTCAAGGATACAGAAGAGGACAGCGGAAAAATTTAACAGCCGGTGTTAACAATTGTTACACATTCAACCACATTCCCTTCAGTTCTCGTCTCGAAGAAAAGGAAATCTGCAAATTCTTTCTGATTAATTTCAATGTGAGAATAATTGTATTACTATATCATGTCCTATGTTACATGCTATAGTTTGTCTGAGGGTGTAAAAATGCGAAGCTCTATTGAAGATTGCAGTAAGCTTAAATTTTTAAACCTAGTGGTTGAAGCAAACTGAAACTGTTGGCAGTGCAATTTGTTGCTGTCGATCACAAAATCAAGCTTCTCCATCCACAAGAAAGAATAAATCATGAAACGCAGCACAGGCTCACATTCTGTTCATTACAATGCAGTTCAAAAATATCATACTTATGTCTTCTGCGTTTACACTATTTTATTGAACTGAACTCTTTAAATTGCACTCTGAGATTCGCAGCTAATATAGAGTTCCCATGTTCACAGCAGTCGCAAAGTTTTGTTCTTACTGGAAATACGAGAGTTCAGCTGGTCAGCGCAGGGTAGAAATAGGGATGTGTAACTTTCAAACCATTAAAGAAATAGTTTGTGAAACTAAGAGAACAGTCTAACAATGGGCAAGAAATGGCGGTAGGGTGTGGGCAAGAAAAAAGGCTGTAAAAAGAAAAAGCTCAGGAATAAATGCAAATATAACATCTATTGAAAAGCAAACTCGAGATTTTTTTCCTTTGTCTTTTTATTTTGTGTTTAAAAAAATTTTTTGAGACATGTATGTAGCTCAGACTGCCCTTTAATTGTTATTGTATTATTGTTGTACTGGGGGTACATTGTGACATTTATAAAAGTGCTTACAGTTTAGCCTATCCACCCCCTCCCTCATTCTCCTTTATCCCCCTTCCCTCTCAGGCAGCTCTTGAATGCAAATTGGCCTCAAACCAGCAATCCTCCTGCCTCTGCCTCTCCAGTGCTGGGATTACAAGTGTGCACAGCCATGCCCAGTGAGAGCATTTCATTTTTAAAAATCCAATTTTATGCTGTTTATGAGTTTCACCTAAAGCACAAATAGGAAAGGAAATGTATGCCAGTTAAATTATAGCAGAAAAAAGGAAAAGAAAGAGAAAGGTGAAGGGAAGAAGAGCAAAAAGAAAGGAAAGGATGGGAAGGAGGAGAGAGACTTGTAGCCATACTATATAAAAAGTGAAGAGGTCAAAGTAGAAAGCATCAAAGAGAGCAAAACAGGACATTTCATTCACCAAGAAAGATACAATAATCACAAAATTTTCTGTGCCAAACAATGTAGTTTCAAAACATATGAAGTAAATACTGTTGGAAATACAGAACTCACTTGTAGTTGGAGACTTAACCTACACTTCCTATGGCACAGACAGATAAAATAGGCTGCCAAATGACTAAGTATGTAGGGAGATGGACCAATACAATTAAAGCTCGTCTAATGCATATGCATTTTTGTACTCTAGAGAGGATGCATTTTCTTTTATAAAAATATTTTAAATATTTCAAACACACAGAAACGTACAGAGTAGAAAATACACATTTGAATGCATCTGTCACGCAGATTGAGCATAGTTAACTTTCTTCAGATCCTCAGATCCTTCTGTTTTTGAAACAAAAATTGACAACCGAAGTCCTTCCTCTGTTCTGTTCACCTTTGCTTCTTTCCCCCAAATAAGCACCTTCTCAGGCAGGTTTGTTTTTCAGTTTCTACTTCTGTCTAGAACTGTAACCAAGGCACACTATCATTTTGTTTGCTTTGAATTGTGCCAGCTACATCATGATATCCTTTTGCAACTTAAATTTCCACTCAGTGTTATCTTTGGAAATTTGACAATATTATATACCTGTATATCTGGGTCATGCATTTTATTTTATTACTATTATTACCTTTTTTTGCAGTACTGGGTTTTGAACTCGGGGCCTTAAACTTGCAAGGCAGCACTCTACCTCTTGAGCCATGCCCCAGCCCTTTTTTGTTTTAGTTATTTTTCAGATAGGGTCTCACACTTTTTGCCCCCAGCACAGCTTTGGTCCTGGATTTCTCCTACCTATGCCCCCTCGCCAGAGTTGAGATTTCAGGCAGCACCACCATTGCCCAACTTGTTTGTAGAGATGGGATCTTATCAACATTTTTGCCTGGGCTGGCCTACCAACTATGATTCTCCTGATCTCCACTTCCCGAATAGCTAGGATTACAGGTATGTACCACCACGTCCAGCTGGGTCATGCATTTTAATTGCTGAATGCTATTTCATCAAATATCCAACATAATATTACCTTAACATCTTATTGTATGGAATTCTGTTGCATGAATTATGCAACTTACCTATATCCTTCCCTACTGATGGATTTGGGTTGGTTCTCCCTTGTGCCATTATGAGAATTCAATGAACAGCCTAGTGCCCACATGAGAGAGCTTCTCTAGGGCAGAGCTGCCCAACTGACTTGTGGGTGTTTTGATAGATTGATCCACTTAGCCCTCCAGGAAGATGGGTCTGGCTTCCGCCAGCTGCTATGCCTAGGGACTATTGCCTCTAGATAGACAGGCTTCTGTTTATACCCGCGAGCTGGTCTGAATATTAGGGTTATTGACATAGACTCTAATGTGAAAAGGGATTGAAAAAACTGCTCTGGCTTAGTGTAGGTACATTGAAGTGGGATTTTGTGGTCAAAAGATATGTGGCACTTATCTACTGCTGCATAACAAATTGTCCTGGACACACAGCAGCTTAAAACAACAAATTTTTATTATGTCACAGTTTCTGTGGGTTAGAAATCCAGGCATGGCTCAGCTAGGTGCCCATGGCTCAAGGTCTCTGACAAGGTTGCACTCTAGCTCTCATCTGGGGTTGCAGTCTCATTTGAAGGCTCAACTGAGATGCGAGGTCCAAATTCTAGCCCTTTAATATAGCAGGCCTCAGAAAATCCACATCCAAGCTAACTTATGTGGCTACTGGCAGGCTTTCACTCCTTGTCATATGGGTGTATTTGATTTTTTTTTGAGGATCCAAGATAGAAAACATGGTCTTTTTATAATTTACTCTCAGAAGTGACAACTCATCACTTTTGCCATATCCTATTCATTGAATGAAACCAAGCCACAGAACTTGTCCTTTTCATGTAGCAAATTTGTAGCCAAAGAGTGGTTCACAATTTTTCTTTATTATTCTTTAATATTTATGAAATCAGTAATGATAGTTCCTCTTTCATTTCTGATATAAGTAATTTTGTTTACTCTCCTGCCTAGAGGCTTATCAATCTTGTTGATCTTGTCAGTGAACTAGCTTTTGGGTTGGTTTTCTCTGCTGTTGGTCTGCACTTAATTTCATTGATTTCTACTCTAATTTTTATTATAGGTTTTCTTCTGCTTACTTTGGATTTAATTTGCTCCTCTTTTTCTAGTTTCCTAAGGTGGAAGCCTAAATGATTGACTTAGATCTTTCTTATTTTCTAATACATACATTCAATGCTGCAAATTTCTTTCTCAGCACTGCTTTTGTTGCAACCCACACATTTACTAAGTTGTATTTTCATTTATCCCAAAGTATTTTCTCTCCCTCTCTCTCTCTCTCTCTCTCTCTCTCTCCCCCTTCCTCCCTCCCTTGATTCTCCTGATTTCTGCCTCCTGAGTAAGTAGGATTACAGGTAAGAGCCACCAGTGCCCATCTAGAAAGTATATTGTTTAATCTCCAAATATTTTGAAATTTTTTAGCTATCTTTCTGTTATTGATTGCTGATTTAATTTCACTGTGGCTTGAAAGCATACTTGGAATGATACATATTTTGAATTTATCCAGGCATGTTTTATGGCCCAAGATGCAGTCTATCTTGGTGAATGTTCCACATGAGCTTGGAAAGAAAGTGTTTCTGCTTTGTTGGATGAAGTAGTCTATAAATGTCAATTGATAGATGCCATTGATTGATGGTGCTATTCAGTCAGTTTAACTGTGTTCTTACTGATGTTCGACCTGCTGGACCTATCCACTATTGATAGAGGGGTATTGAACTCCACAACTTTTAATAGTGGTTTATCTCTTTCTCCTTACAGTCCATCAGTTTTTTTTATTTTGGATGCTGGTACTGGGGTTTGAACTCAGGGCCTCAGCAGGCCCTTTAACCACTTGAGCCACTCTGCCAGACCAGTCCATCAGTTTTTACCTCATGTATTTTAACTCATGAATGTTGTAAGGCATTTACACATTAAGGAATTTTATGTCTTCTGGGAGAATTGACTCCTTTTATCATTATAATGCCCTATTTATCCTAATAACTTTCCTCATTCTGAAACCTGATGTGTCTGAAATTAACAAAGCTATCTTGGCTTTTTTTTTTGATTGGTGTTAGCATAGTATATCTTTCTTCATCTTTTTACTTTTAGCTTTTGTGTTTATATTTACAGTAGGTTTCATATAGACAAGTATAGTTGGGTTTTGTTTTTAAATCCATTCTAATAGTCTCAGTCTATTAATTGATGCATTTAGATCATTCATATTTAAGGTAATTATTGATATGCTGCTGTAGTTGGATTAATATATACCATACTTGTAACGGTTTCTTTTTTTTTTACAATTTATTAGCATATATTATTTGTACGGGGTGGGGTTCATTGTGCCATTTACATATGTGTTTACAATGTATCTTAATTAGATTCACTCCCTCTATCATTCTTTTTCATCCCTCTTGCCCCCCCATCTTAGAACAATTTCAACAGGTTTCATGGTTCTATTTTCATATACAGATACAAAGTACATAATCATATTTGCCCTCCTTCACCCTCTTTGCTTACCCTCCCCACTCCCACTGGTACTCATCCCC